AAAAATTTTTTTTGTGTATTTGAAATTGAAATAATGCATTGTTAACCATTTATTCTAGTACGTCATTCAGTCAAAAGTCAAGTTTTCTGTTGTTATATATATATATATATATATATATATATATATATATATATATATATATATATATATATATATATATATATATATATATATATAATATGTCTGGCTTTTTGATGGATGTTCATTATGAAACATCCCATGACAAATGGTTTCTTTTCCCAACAGAAAAACATATAGTATGAAATGATGAAAAGTACCAGAGTACAAAAACAAAAAGGGGTCAACCACTGCCTTGTTAGATAAAAATTTAAAAAGCAATCTTAAAAATGTATTGTAACACAGTCTGCTTTTGAAATAATTCCAAATATGGTACCACAATAGAAAAAAAAAGATATATATTATTCACTAGGTTATACATTATGATCAGGTTGTGGTTAATAAATAAATAAATATTGCAAAAAGATGCATTATGATACAATACAATTTAATTACGATACAATAGAGGGATGTACATTGTAGACAATGATAGGGAACTGAGCGCTTAGCTTAAAAATGACACGGTTACCTTTTGATTACAGGCAAAAACAAGTAAACCTGATCTTACGCCAGAGAGACAAGCATCTGCTGAGATGCAGGCTTCACCATATTTAAACAAGAACAAGAGGTACATCCATATAGGTAAGTCATAAAATAAAAACACCTTAGTCCACATGGAAAGAACATGTTATCTGTGGAGAAGAACTATGCATGTCATCAGCATGTTTTTTTTTTTTAGTTTTAAGTTTAACACTTTAATTTTCCATTGCAGGAATTGACACAGCTGAAGTGAAAGTAGGAGATAACCTGAAAATCAACCTCAACCTCAATAACCCACCACAAGCAAAGGATATAACATATCTGGTGAGAAATGTTCGACATGTGTCCTAATTAAACTAATTTTATATTTACTAATGTGTTATTCTATGAACCCCAGATCTCAAGCAGAGGCCAGTTGCTAAAATCTGAGCGGTACAAAACAAGAGGCCAGGCACTGATTTCCCTAATTCTTCCCATCACTAAAGACATGTTGCCCTCATTCCGCATCATTGCCTACTATCACCCAGAAGATAATGAAGTGGTGTCTGACTCTGTTTGGGTGGACGTGAAAGACTCCTGCATGGGATTGGTGAGACTAAAGCTGCAAATCAAAGCCTGGCAAAGCCTGTTGTGTTTATGTTATTTTAATCCCATGATATTTTCTTTACATATAGTTAACCTTGGAATCAGCAAGACCTGTTCCATCCTATGAACCTCGCAGGATGTTTAGTCTGAAAGTCACAGGAGATCCAGGGGCCACAGTTGGACTCGTGGCAGTTGACAAAGGCGTCTACGTCCTAAACAACAAGCACCGTCTCACCCAGAAAAAAGTATACAGTTTCTAAAAAAAGATGTTTTGTATCTTTGCCTTATGCGCTGTAACCCCAAGAGTGATCTATTTACCTCTGTATCTTAAAGGTTTGGGACGTCGTAGAGCAACATGACACAGGCTGCACACCAGGTGGTGGGAAAGACAGCATGAATGTGTTCTATGATGCTGGGCTGGTGTTTGAGTCAAGCACTGCTTCAGGAACTCCCTACAGACAAGGTGACTTATGTGCTCATGCACTCTCCAACACAAATATTACTCTGCTTGTTCTTTAAAATACTATTTTCTTTCTTTCTCTGTCAAATTAAAGAATCAAATAGATTTACAAACTGTAGATACATTAGATAGTACAGCGTTTAGCATGTTTGTTGTTAGTATTATGCAAAGAGTTTACATTTATGTTTATTCATGCCTCTTGGATAATCCAATGGAATATAACCTTTATATATTTCTTTACTTACTTTATATATTTCTTTACTTACTTTACTGTTTCACAATTTTTGTTATGGCAAGAGAAAAATGACCTTTCTGTCTGATTTTTGTTTTCAATCAAAGAAAGCTAACTTAAAATAGTAATATACAAGGTAGTTCTGTTTCCTTTGAGTTAAAGGAAAATTTAGGGCTGTATAATTGTGACTATTAAGTGCAGATGATGATTTTGTGGAAAACTTCTATAAAATTCAGTTAAAACAAAAGCTTTTCTTCAAAGAAGAAGGTTAAAATAGTGTGGTTAAAAAAACATTGTTATTTTTTTTTTCTAACTCTTCCAGCTGCAGATAAGTGTTGTTCGAAATGTAAATCTTGTTACAATAATAGGTGACCCACTCTTCATAATTTACCTAAAAAATGTGCCTCTTTATGTTGGCTTCAAGTCTAATATATAGTGATTGTTGTAGAATATGATCTGATAATGTTTTCTTTTAATATCTTCAATTTGTTTTTGAAAGAAAATATTTTGGTTGCAATTTAGCTCTAATAATTTCTGAAAGATGTGTTTTTTCTTCTATTTCAGACTTAAAATGCAAAGCGAACGCCAAGCGGAAAAGAGCCACAACTATCATGGATGTGAGAACGACCCTATGTAAGATTTACACCTCTCAACTAATCAATGACTAGATATAGTATCATTTAGTCAGGAATTATGTTTTTAAGCCTTGCCTGGATAGATTCATCTTTTCAAACAAACCTGTTTTCTGCTAATTAATATGTCTTATTTTAATGCATAAATCGTTTCTTTTCAAAGTGAGTCAGTATAATAATGAACTGCAGAGAGACTGTTGTTTGGACGGTATGAAGGAAGTTCCACTTTCGTATACCTGCGAGCAGCGTACAGAGTACATAGTGGATGGTGACGCCTGTGCTGAGGCCTTCCTGCAGTGTTGTACTGCGATGCAAACACAGCTGTCTGAGAAGAAAGAAGAAAACCTGCAATTAGCTCGCAGTAAGAAACAGGAACAAATTTATGGAGAAGATTGTTCTCAAACTCCTTAAAGAAAATGCAATCACACCATGTACAACCACACTTTAGGTGAATCCGATGACAGCTACTTGGACAGCAATGAAATTGTATCTCGAACCAAGTTCCCTGAAAGTTGGCTGTGGACCGACATCCAGCTTCCTGCTTGTCCTGCTGGTAACTGGTAAGCCATTAGACTCTTGCGCAGATCCCGAGTGCTGTGGAAGAACAGTTTGGTTCTTAAACTTCACGTCTGTTTTACCGTTCTGGGTTTCAGTGAGGCCACATCTTTAGTGAGGAATGTTCCTCTGCAAGATTCCATCACAACCTGGCAATTCACTGGCATCAGTTTGTCAAGGACACTTGGTACAGAGCCTGACAACAGCTTTTTTCCTTTTTAAATTCTGTCTCTCTTCTTGGGCCTAATTTTTTGTTTCATTTGCCTTAAAGGAATCTGTGTAAGCGAGCCGTTGGAGGTAATTGTGCGTAAAGAATTTTTCATTGACCTCCGGCTTCCGTATTCAGCTGTCCGAGGGGAGCAGCTTGAAATTAAAGCAATCCTTCACAACTACAGCCCAGAGCCTATCACTGTAAGTCGTAATATGGCAATAAAATGAACTAAAAACTTTAGCAATTGTAAAAATTATACATCTGATCGGTGGTCAATGCAAGCGTAATGAACCATTACACTTGCATTGACCCTTGCACATATATATATATATATATATATAATTATATATATATATATATATATATATATATATATATATATATATATGCACTGGATCCAACTTTAAATTTTATATTAGATAAAGCTACATATTTTCCCTTCATATTTCAGTCTTTTCTAAATTTTCTTTTGTCCTTAAGGCTCGTGTGGAACTGATTGAGGAAGAGAATGTGTGCAGTGTTGCCTCCAAGAGAGGGAAATATCAACAGTTTGTCAGAGTTGGCGCCCATACCACACGTTCCGTACCATTCGTCATTATTCCCATGAAGGAAGGGGAACGCAGCATTGAGGTTAAAGCAGCTGTTAGGGACTCATCCCTGAATGATGGAGTTCAAAAGATGCTGCGTGTTGTGGTAAGAAAAACAAAAGCCCTCTTTGGGTGGGGCCTTTCAGGTTTATCCCTGGTCTGTTACAGATTACATCCCCGACAGGCCGTCAGTTGATCTAATTTGTTTAAATTATCTCGATTACACTTAATGGAGACAATTAATTTGGTATGTTTGACAGCAGAAAGATGCTTGGGTAAACTGAGAAATGGAAATGTTCAGGAACAACATATAACAAAAGTCTAAAAAAAAACAGTATTACTTTATAAAGCATTTTTTATCTGCTGAGGGGAAAAAAGTTAGAACAGTTTTTATAGTAGAAACATTAAATGTGGACTTTCAGAATATTTTGACCATTATATGCTTTAGTTTAAGTGCTTATTTCTTAATTTTCACAATTATTTTCACCTATCTTCAGCTTTGTTATTCACAATAGTTGTGTTAATTTTCAAAACCAAAATCAAGATCTATGTAACACAGAAAAAAAAGCTGTAAAAGAAAACTTAAGCTTTTAGCTGAGAATATAGCTTAGAATTTAAAGAAGAGCACTGGGGTTACATGAAGGGCGAAACTCACACTCCAATGACTGCATTTATTTGAGTTCATTCAACCAGGACTTCTATTTTCAATAACTGGGAGAATAAATCAGGTAGAAATTTGTGTGAAGCAGAAACCTATAAGCTGGAGACCTATTAAACAGCTATCACAGGTTCAGATAAAAAGCACTTTATTTAGTCTGCCTGTAAATTCATCACAGTGATTACTGAATATCTGTGATTAAACTGTATTACAAGCTAGAAGGCGAAAGTTGGATTACTTCCATATTATCAGCTAACAGCTTCAGTCATACCCTCACCCTTCCCTGAGAAAAAATTGACAAAGCTAATTAATAGGGGACACATAACTTCTAAACACTAAGAAGTACATTATTTTTATTTTGCTTGTAAACAGAGCTTTCACAGGCATAAACCTCAAGTCATCATCCATATGATCAGATGGACCTCCTCGTTTAGGTTATGAACTAGAATTGATTGATTGATTGACTTTAATAATCTCACAGTAGAGAAATTTACTCAAAGGACTTCATTGATTCAGCAAACTAAATTACAGAGCTACTTATCCGTTTAAAAAAACAACAACAGAAAGACTGGATTTTGATTTCTTCGGGATTTTCTGCTGCTAAAACCTAATGGTATTCCTTGCTAGCATTCTTTTAGTTTGCTTTGCATTAATCGTAGATTTAAAAAATAAAAGGTTTCTAATATTTTCCCTAACTTTTTCCAGCCTGAAGGCATACTGATTAAATCTGCTCAAATTGTAACTCTAGATCCAGTTAAAAAAGGTATGTTTAAACATTAAAAAAGCATTAACGTTATTAGGGGTAGAAAGTTTTCTTTTATTTTCCTAATTCCATGTGATTTTTTTTTCCTTTCAGGAGGTACACAAGAGGAAACCCTAAACAGTAATATTCCCCGGAAAGATTTGGTACCAGATGCACCCACTAGCACACAAGTTTCTGTGACTGGTGGGTATAATTTTGTGACATTCATACCCATCATGTAAAGAAATGAACTTGGCATTTACCAAAGTAAAGGTTAAGAATCCACCTCCTGATAGTTGGAATGTCTGAATTTATTATCTCCCTGTAAATTTACCAATTTCATTGTGCTCATGCAGGCAGAGAACAGGTTTCTGGACTTGTTGAGAATGCCCTCAGTGGGAAATCAATGGGTACTCTGATCCGCCAGCCCGGTGGCTGTGGAGAGCAGAACATGATTCACATGACCCTACCAGTCATTGCAACCACATATTTGGACAAAACCAATCAATGGGAAGCTGTTGGTTTTGACAAACGTAATGAGGCTATTCAACACATTAAAACTGGTAAGGTAACATACAGTAATAGTTTGTCTTTCTGTGATTAACTAAAAAAATGTAGGTGTATTTGTGAATAAATGTATAATTTTCTATCTATTTAGGATACAAAAATGAGCTAGCATACCGTAAAAATGATGGCTCATTTGCTGTGTGGGCTAGTCATGGGAGTAGCTCCTGGTAAGCTGCTCAACATGAACATTATTATCAAAGTTATGGAGACAATACCTATCTTCTTGGTATTCTACTCACACCTTGTTTAACTAATCCTTTATTTTCTTTTTCACCTCTATAAGGCTGACTGCATATGTTGCCAAGGTGTTTGCTTTTGCTTACAACTTGATAGCAGTGCAAAATAGTGACATCTGTGGTGCGGTTAAGTTTCTGATCCTCAACGCTCAGCAGCCTGATGGCATGTTTAAGGAAATTGGAAAAGTACATCATAGAGAGATGCAGGTTAGTGCACTGCAATGTATATATATATATACTCTGAGTTCCTGAGCAAAACCCTCAACCCAACACTTCTCCCCAAGCGCCGCACAATGGCCCACTGCTCCCCAAGGGGATGGGTCAAATACAGAGAAGGAATTTCCCCATTGTTGGAAAAAGATTTACATTTTACATTTAAGTCTTTTTTTAAATCTTCTTTAAGAAACATTTCGATATCCGATTATTAATTAACTAATTCGGAAGAATAGTCTACAGATTAATTGAGTGCAGCCCATATATATATATATTTATATATGTATAGGTAACATATGTTATGGACATAGTTTTGACAGTGATGATAATTTTGCCTCTTGGCTTGCAAGTGGCCTTACTGAATTGGAAATTAGAGCTGGAATAAAAAGTTAAATCAGTAAAAATCTGGCCAAGTCTTCTGTACCCTGTCTTTTAGTGGCAGTTGTCACAGTTAGAAGCAATCCCATGATGAACAGTATTCTAGAAGAAAGTCTACAAACAGTGGTGATCTTTTGTCTCTAAACTGTGCCCTCTGCAGATGAGTATTTTCTAGACAGAGCTGGATTAATGAAAGACTGCCTGCAGAATTTTGTAGAGGGATTATTTTTTATAAAATAACACGACTGACATCAGTTTTTGTGCACTGCTTATGCCAGTGTGACCAACATCTCAAAACTTGCTGGTCAATGGGCTCTATGGACAACTTCAGTACTTTCAGAAGTTAAGACAGCTGCTTTGTTTCCTGTCTTTTGTCTTCAGGTTCCCTAAGCATGAAGAAGTTCCATGTTTAAGTTTTTTTTTTTCTAAATTAAATGCTATTGTTCCAAAAATCCCTCATCCAGTTCAATACATGACAACAAATAGTCAACAGTAGACTAAGCTGTTTGGCCAACCCAAATACTTGGTTATTTTGTTCAATGTGACACTAATTGAATAAAATGACTTTCCAACAGCATAATATGTATTGCCAAGAAGCTTTACAATGTATGAGCAACCAAACAAATTTCCTAAATTAATATTTCCCTACTGCAAAACTGAAGATTCACAAAAGCCCAGTGGAGTTTTGTTTTTTTAGACCAGGATTTAGACTATTAACCCTGACATGTCGGTGTTTGCATATTTGCTCATACAGGGTGATGTGCTCGGTGGAGATTCAGATGCCTCGTTCACGGCCTTCTGCCTAATTGCCATGCAGGAAACACGCACAATATGCGCCCCAAGTGTAAATGTGAGTACCTCACTGTCACGCAGTTTTTTTTCTAATTTCTTGTCATTTACTTTTTTTGGCATTATTTTTAACGGATGTTTGTCAAATAATCAAATTCAAAGCACTTTTTATGGCATTACAGGAAGAGAAATCAAAGGTTTATTTTTTACCTACTTGAATATTGTTCTCCTATTTTACCCAGAGCCTTCCATCCAGTATTGAGAAAGGAGTCGCCTACCTCGAAAAACGTCTTCCTTTCCTCACAAACCCTTATGCTGTTGCCATTACATCATATGCCCTGGCCAATGAAGAGAAACTTAACCGAGAAATTCTCTACAAGTTTGCTTCTCCTGGTATTGCATTACCTATTGACATACAAATGAGCTGCACACATACAAATATTATATATTTACGTGTGTGGGTGTGTGCGTTCTTATATTTAACACACTGGGGGGATAAACTACTCCTACTCATTGTGGGCCCCAGTGCCTGGAAATACTGTTTTTGAGTCAAAGGTCACATTTATGACAAAGGTGTGAATTGAGTTTAGGTTGGGGTTAGGGTTAACATGAACCTGTAAGGTTAGGGATAGGGTCACATGTAGGCTGTAGAAATGAATTGAATTCAATGGAAAGGCCCTACAACGATAGTGAGGCAAGTTTGTTTGTGTATTTATGTGTATATGAGACACACACCCAGTCATTTTTATTTATTTTATATTTAAATCTGTGCATGAAAGACTCATGTAGATGTGTAAGATAAAGCATACACATATGTTGTGTTACACTCTCCTTGTGGGGATTTTCCACTGACTTCTGTTCATATTGTATTTATTTCTCTGGCCTAACCATGACGCTTCATGTTTCTTATCAACTTATCAGATCAATTAGCTGCTGACCCTAATATTAGTGGAATCCATACCTAAACCTAACACCTGACCCTTACCCTAAATTAAACTTACCCGATCCCCAACCCCTAAACTTATCCTGACCCTAACCCTGACCCTTGCCCTAAACCTAACTCTGACCCATGCCCTAAACCAAACTTTGATCCTTGCCCTAAACCTAACTGTGACCCTGACTCTCAACCTAACCCTAATCCTTCCCCTAACTCTAGCCCTCCAAATTCGCACCGGCCCGTGCAATGCCTTTGATCCTCTAACCAACTGCCCTAGCCATCGGACATTGGTAGGGGGGAGGGTCATCAAGAGAGTGTCTAACGCCTAACAAATACCAAGACATACCTAACCCTAAACACAATTCACACCTTAGTCCTAAAACTAACCCTTAAAACCCTAAAGAAGAGAACCTTTCCTCAAGGGGTCCAGTTGTTGGTCCCTATAAGTACCGATAAGCTCCCAAAACGTAACATGTTTCTGGGAAATTGTATCCATATTGTAAGAAAAACATTGCCACACAAATCAATGGAGTAATTGTGTATGTCCTAAAATTCTTACAATTTTTTTTTTTTGTCTTTTAGAGTTAAACCACTGGCCTGTACCTGGAAAAAACACATTTACACAAGAGGCGACTGCATATGCCCTTTTGGCTCTGGTCAGAGCTAGGGTGAGGTTTTGTCCCACATTTCTAAAATATAATATACCGTAATATAGAACCATTATTATTTCCGTATACTTACATATCATGTATGTTTCAATCTATTTGCCAAATAAGAATTTATATTGTGCAAAGTTGTAAAAAGTGGGTGGCGTCTGTGCAATGGTGGAAAGCAGTTATTGCCCTTCCATTTTGCCAGTCTAGTTACTTGCCATAACAAAAGTTCCTTTTAAATTCATTTTAGATGGTTATAAGTAACGCAATAAACACAGGGGAAAGAGAATGCTTTATTTAATTAATAATATTAATAAATATATATGAAAGATTTAAAATGGAATTGGAATAGGACTAAATAACAATAACAAAACCTAAACCTCAAAAGCCAAACTTATGCACCAATCAAATTATAAACTAGTAAAGCACTCTGAGAGCTAAGACTTACACCAAGCAGCAAATTTTGCCCCATATTGTGACTTAAACTAAAACTAGCTCATGATCTGGATCATTACGCAATTTAAATGAAGTTATCCTTACATGAAGTGCACCTCTAATAAAAAAAATTCCCTTAAATCCTTTCAGAAGTTAATAAATAAGGCACAGCGTGTGTCTGCAGCCTCTGGTGTCTGTTCTGCTCTCACCTTCCTCATTCACTCTGCTTTCTTCTTGGAGCTGCAGACTTTTAGTGAAGCATGGCTCACCTTTTTGTGTTGTGGTCTTCAGTGTATTCTTCTTTCGGAGTCCAATGCTGAAGCTGTCAATAGTCACTGCTGCCACTCCTTAGTTTAGGGGGGAACTGCTTCTTCCACCAAAAATGTTAAAGAATCCTTTAAAAAATTCCTGCATCCTGATAAGGATTGTTCCTTGGACTGAGGTGCACTGTTGGACTGTTAGACACAAACAAAATGTTAATGGACTCATAAATATAAGTTAGGAAGTAAAACATTTTTCTGTATTTCTTCTACTTGAGTCATAACTGTGGCTAAAAGGAGAACCTGCGGCCTGATAAAGAACAGTTTCAAATCGTTTTTATCACCTAGACTTGATGTGCAGGATTACTTCTGTATGTATTTGGCACAAACTGTTTTGTTTAACTGATTTAAAAACACATAAATCCTACTCAAGTTAGAGAGCAGAAAATATTTGTACTTATTTTAAAGTAATGAGCGGACATGAAATAAATTTCTCAAGAAAGATTTAAAAGATTTTTGGTGAAAAGCTTCTCGATTACTCTGTCACTGATAATATTGTCTAATGTAGAGCTTCAATACTAAATCATTAAATCGAACCGAAGAAATGTAATTCAGATATTTTAAAACTGATCTAAAATTAAAACCAATAAAAAGAGCTTAGTCATAAAATAACAGAAATAAACATGAAACAAATAAATTCAGTGCTTATGGGAGTTTAGTTATTACTGTATCTAATATGTATGTTTTAGAAAAGGGTTAAGTACCTCAAGTAATAAGATATACTGACTTGTCTCTAAGTGATTTTCTTTTACAGTAGTTACTCAAGTAATGTAGCTAGCAGAGGTGTCACATGAAAAGAAACTTTCTTACTTTACTTAAGTAGAAATTTTGGCTATCTATACTTTTCTGGAGTAATTATTTTTAGAGAAATTTTTACTTTTACTTCTTACTTTTTTTTTACAATTGCCTCTACTTTCTACTGCATACATTTTAAAAATAGACTTGTTAGTTTTGTTTCATTTAAGCTCATTTACATTATGGCCTGTTGGTATTAAAAAAATCAATAAAACCCATCAAAATAATTAGTTTCATCCAGATAATTCATTTCTTTGTTGTTGGACTCAGTGCTGCACCAAAATAAATAGTTGTTGAAGATTATACAAAGTAAAATTTGACACTTTAACATTAGCTATAAAACTAGGAAAATTAAGTATAAGGAAGTTATCATCCAGAATTTTAGAGAAATGTTCCTTTAAAAGGGTTTTGCATTAACCAGTATAAGATTTAAAGCATCTCTCCTTAACATTTTTCCTGCATTACTTTTACTTTTATACTACTTTTGGTAGTTTTAAAAATGGTACTTTCACACTTTTACTTGTGTAAAAAGCTTCAGTTGATGCTCTAACTTCTACAAAAGTGTTTTTATAAAGTAGGATTTATACCTCTACTTGGGTAATAAAAATGTATACTTTTGACACCTCTGGTAGCAAATTATTACCAGCATCTGCTGCTTTGTGAATTCAGTGCACGTAAAGAAAATAACTGGGGAGACAGAAATGATATACCACATAGAATTTAAGCAGTTTTTTGTCAAATATCTTGCCTTTGGCAAGAAAGATATTCAGTGTTCCAAATAGTCAATTTAACCCCCTTTAAAAGAAGGATATATTCAAGAATATATTCATTAAATAGAGGTTTTGCTATATAATGCTGCTATCTAGATAAATTACTGTTTGTTTTCTTTCAATACAGAGGTTTGAAGATGCGAGACCAATCGTTAGATGGTTTAATGACCAGCAGTTTGTGGGTGGAGGCTATGGATCAACTCAGGTAACTGTAACTCAGGTCTACTTTTAGTTTACTGTATGCAAACCTCTAAACATGTTCTAAGGAAATTGATGTTGATCTACTTAAAACTGAATTTTTCTCCCTCTCTTTTGTTATACTTTATTCCCAGGCAACTATTATTGTGTACCAGGCTATATCAGAGTACTGGACTCAAGCTAAAGAACCAGACTATAATTTAAATGTTGACATCTTGTTGCCAGGAAGATCAAAGCCTGACAAGTACAACTTAAACAAAAACAATCACTTTGCTACAAGGACATCTAGAGTAAGATCATAACATCCTCTCTACATTTATGATAAGCTGTGAGTTTTTTTTTTGTTTTTTTTCTCCTTTCTTTAATGTTTGATTTTTCAAATTCATATTTTAACAGATCAATGACATAAACCAGGATGTCAAAGTTAAAGCCACAGGAACAGGAGAAGCAACAGTGAAAGTAAGTAAATTTTTTTAATTCCAGACATGTATTAATATATATTTTGAATAGTTAGCTAACTCAATGAAATAGTTAAGATTAGGGCTAAAACAATTATTCAGATTAATCATGATTACCGGTAATTGATTATTGAAATAATTGTCAAATGATTTAGTAATAGATTAATCCGTAACTGGAGTATAGACTGTAAAACATGCTTTTAGCCTATAGAGTAACCCACTTAAAGCAGTTATTATATCAAATAGTTAAGACTAGGGCTAAAACAATTATTCAGATTAATCATGATTAATTGATTATTGAAATAATCGTCAAATGATTTAGTAATAGATTAATCCGTAACTGGAGTATAGACTGTAAAACATGCTTTTAGCCCATAGAGTAACCCACTTAAAGCAGTTATTATATCAAAATTGTAAGAAATATATGAATATTTTGCATTTAAGATAAAAAATAAATAAATTTTCATCTGTCAATACACTCTATCCAGAACTCCTCAAGTGGAGAAGTTTTAGTTTCACCTGGTTTAATTTAGTAAAAAATGTTCTTCGAGGAACCTTTTGATATCTAATTATTAATCGAAAAAATTTGCAAAATAATCATTATTTGCAGCCCTAGTTTAGACACAAAACAGTCTTACCTTTTCCTCCTGATTCATTTATTCTCATTTATCAACAATGAACAGACAACAAATATAAAGTTCTTGCTTGTTAGGATTCTCAGTCATCCATGGCAGTCATTCCAAAAAGGTTAAAAAAGTTAAAAAAATCCACTGGACTATGTTTTCCAAGTTTGAAGATGTTTCGCTTTCGCTTAGTGTTGAGTTCCAAGCTTTATAGAGTAGCCCAACAAATCTTAATCACATTTTATTCCATTAACAAATCAATTTTTGTTGGTTTAATGCACCTTTGTCTAAAAGTCTTTTGGTTTTTGACAAAGACCTGCATTTCTTTTATGATGACGCATATGTATGAACTGTTCAAAGAGTGAAATATGGAATATTTAAACTCCTGAGTTTGAAAGAGGGTATTATTTGCTTATTCTTTGCTTGTTGCTTATTTTGATAAAGAAAATGGAAAAGAATGTATTTCTATTTCTGTAAAATTAGGAACAACTGTAGTGGCGCTGTGCTGGAAGAAGTGCTAATATATGGCTGATATTTCTTGTAGACTAGAAACACAAGAAAATCTGGGAAGAAAGGCGTTATTTATTCAATCAGTTGATTATGTTAATGTTCAGTAGTACTTGTTTAATTAATTTTAACAGAAATGTAAGGGGATATGATATGACCTAAACTATACATATTTAAAATGTTTTATCAGTATTGACTATGTCAATTAGGATTTGTATCTAAACATAATTGCAGGTCAATTCTATTTTTTGAAATAATAAAATTTAATAAGTAATACATTTTTTTATCAAATAGTTTAAAAATAAAGCATAAAATTTAGACAAAAATCATCTTGCAACATAGCAACACAATGTGACTTTTTATGTTACAGATGGTGTCACTTTATTATGCTATCCCCAAAGAAAAGGAAAGTGACTGCCAGAAGTTTAATCTCTCCGTGCAACTCATCCCAGGTAATCTGGTATACGTTTGTTCTATTCATGAATTTGGTATTTATTCTGTGTTTTTTGTAAAACAATAAAAATAAAAAATAGCATGTTGTATAAAGATGCATTGTTTATGTGGATTTCCTCTTTTGTTTCTGCAGAAAAAATAACTGATGATAGCAGGACATACATGCTTAGGATAGATGTTTTGTAAGTACCGTACGCCAAACCTTGGGAAGTTCCATAGGTCGATGTGAATTTATCCAGATTACTCTGAACATTTTACCCACAGGTATAAGGACAAGGAGAGTGATGCAAAAATGTCTATCTTAGACATTGGCCTGCTAACTGGATTCACTGTTGAAACAAAGGACCTGGACTTGGTAAGATTTTGAATGGGATTCACACAGTTAAATCCAGTCATTTATACTGTATACATGTTTAAAAAACACAGAATCAAACACACACTCTCTGAGATTAAAACCAAATCAAATCTGATTTTTTAAAGTCAGATAACATAAATTGCTTATGCTTACTAAATGCTAGATTTATGTGGGAGTTGTTTTCACTGCAAATTCAGAGGTTTACATTTTCTTATTTTGGTGAAGCCTTAATAAGTGTTCCTTCCCAAGGAACACAGGATGGCATGATGATATTATGATGAGAATCTCTAAAAACAAAAGTCTTTGCCATAGGATGTCTTTGCAGGTTGTACACTGAGTGTGTGTTTAAATATTTCTGCAGTTGTCTAAAGGACGCGCTCGCACCATTGCAAGATATGAGATGAATACAGTTCTGTCAGAAAGAGGTTCTCTTATCATATATCTGGACAAGGTAAAAATTCATCTTCTTGTCTTTTTAAATAGATGTTTGCTCATTCATCAATGTGCCATTCTTATTTCAAATCCATTTCTAGGTTTCCCACACACGACCAGAGGAGATCAGTTTTAGGATCCACCAAACAATGAAAGTTGGTGTTTTACAACCAGCAGCCGTGTCTGTTTATGAGTATTATGAACGTAAGTGTAAGGATTTCTATTGTCATTTTAATTTTCCTTATCCCATGTTCTTGTTGAATGACCCTAATGCTATTCCTTATTCACTAAGAATTATTTTGTACCTCTATGTATGTATTTCATTCCAGAAATTCCTTGTGTGAAATTTTACCATCCTGAGAGGAAGGGTGGAAAACTGCTGCAGCTTTGCAGAGATAATGAATGCACCTGTGCAGAAGGTAAACAAGAATGGTCTTTATGTAGATTTTAGGAAGAACAACAACTCATTTACTCCCCAAACCTCAATGAATTTTATATACATTTTTAAATGACTTACAAAAAACAAATCATAATTGTGAAGTGTAAGAAGTTAGATAAGTTCAATTTTAATTTTAAAAATCTGAAGAGGGTGGAAGGCAAATTCATTTAGCCCAATCTTTTTCTGACCAATAAATACCACCATGTGCAACCGACTGTTTTAAACTTTACCCTTTTTTTAATCATCTTTTGTGAGGGTCTCAGTAATTTCACTCAAGACATAAGTGAAGACACAGAAAATACAATCACTTACACTGACAACCACACCATTCACAACTATATGGTGCCTCTGCAGAAACTGTAGATTCCAAAAAAGTTTACAAAAACAAAAAAACACTGGACTTTGTTTTCCAAGTTTAAAGACAGTTCTCTTTCCATCCAGAAAGAAGCTTTCTCAATTCAAAATGTGTGGAGTATCGTTGAGTTCCTGGCTTAAAAAGAGCGGCCCGAAAAAAGGCCTTGTTATGACCTTCAGATCCACAGAGATCCACAGCTTTGGTGATAGAATATTTCTAATAGGTCTGATTATTAGTCAGCCTGTCCATAAATCTAGCCTGTATTGAAGAATTAGATATAAAAGACTCTGTTAAAAGGTCCAAAGAATTTTTGGTGCCAGTTTGTCTCAAGCCATGTACAGTAGATGCAGTAGCAAAAATGCTAAAGACAGGGTTCTCCTAGATAAGACAAAAAGAGATGAGATAGAAAATATATTATTATTTTTTTGGCCTATATGGAAGTGAACTCATTGATTGGCAAAAAACTAACTTTGCCCATTAGCTTGGGCAGAGTTAGCACTAATGTGAAGCATTATAGTGGCAGCTTCATGTTGTGAGAATGCTTTGCTTTATGAGGTCCTGAGAAGTTGACCTTATTGTGCATTCCAAGCTACAGTGGATTGGTTTAGATCAAGGTTTCTGGTCCTCAAAGCAAACTGTCCTGTACGTTTTAGTTGTTTCATACCCCAAAAAAACTCTACTTGCTTTTAATATGAGAATGCATAAAATGCAACACTTTAAATATAATACAGATATCCGCAAATTTTTGATGGTTTATCATATATGCATTGATATTTTAAAATATTTAATTTAAAGACATATAAACTGAATTTGATTAGCAGTCGTCCTTTGTCATAGTCATTGATGTAAGAAATACCATCATCTCTTGATTTTTCTTTCAGAGAACTGCAGTATGCAGAAAAATGGTCACATTAGCAATGATGAGCGCACAGCTAAGATCTGCGAAAGTACAGAAACCAGCAAAATAGAATTTGGTAAGAAACAAGTGTTTCGCAGTTAATGAAAATTCTAATGAAAGGAACATCCTTTTTTATTCATCCCTTATACCTCATGAGCTCAAATCTGCATATTTTGTGTTTACAGCTTACAAGGCTATGGTGGAAGGAAATGACTTTGGGTTGTCTACAGACTCTTACACAATGCGCATAGTGGAAGTTATTAAAGAAGGTGGGTATGGATGCTTATTTAACTTCTCAAATCTTTTGATACAATTTTCACAATAGCTCTTTACAGTAAAGAAAATACTGTTGACCTTTTGTTAAACTTAAAAACTTTTTAAAATATAGCAATTGGCATTTACCAAGATAACAGGGTCTCTTTTTGCCCTCCTCTTTCTACAAACAAATTTTAGAAAAACTTATTTCTGTATACAGAATTTATTGTTACTTTTGACTTGCAAAAATCAAAGCTGCATGTGTCTCAATCAAAGCCCTTCAGTAACCTGAGAGGCCTTTTCTCAATCTCTCTTCTTGTTCTACCATTTAAACACAGGAAGTATTGATGTTGATCCTGTTGGTAAACTGCGCACATTCCTCAGTTATCAGCACTGCAGAGAAGCTTTAAGGCTGGGAAAAGATCAAAGTTACCTCATCATGGGATCATCCAAAGACATTCACAGAGATGACCAGAAGCAAACGTAAGTGAAAATATGACAGCAGCAATACTTCTGCAGTTTCATACAGTGTTCTCGTCAGAGGATTAGACTGATTCTCTTGAAATGTCATAGTACCTCTGAGCTTTAAATAATTTATTTCAAGGTTTGTCTGTTTTTAAAAAGATCAAATGGCAATACAGAATAAAATAAACCTTTTGATAAATAAGAGCTATGCTGAAAAGATTATCTAAAATAAGTGCATTTGCCGTTCCTTTGAGCCTACATACCCCTGTTTAAATACCAGATGTATAAAAATATCAAGAAGACAAATTATTTTACAATGTTTTCTACCTTTAATGTGATCTATAACATGTACATGGGAAATGAAAAACAAACTGAAACTTTTAAAGGGGAAACATGAAATAAAAATATTTTAAAAACCTGGTACCCCTCTCGCTCCTAGACAGCTGGAGATAGGCACCAGCACCCCTTTCAACCTCACTTGGGATAAGCATGTTGGAAAATGGATAGATGGTTGCAGAAATATGCACACCAACCCACCCATCCATGTAATTTATTGGAAATTGTTTTGCATCCTTCACCTGACTGAAATCTCTAAATAATATGATCCTTTGATGTTTTGGAAGTATTTTTTAGGGTTTATTTATAACACAGATTACTCTCCTCCATGCCAGCTGCTCTAACTGTAATGTGGCCTCCTGACGCTAGTCTTAATTAATGAGAAATTAGAAATGAAACACAAACTTGGACAACAATTTGGCAACAGCAGTGGTTCCAGGAAATGTTGACAGGGGTGGCCAGGCAGAAACCATTGTGCACTGAGAGGTGAACAAAAACAAATAGGTACCAAAACCAATTCACGGTCAGACTATGTTGATCACAATTAACCTACATCTATATTTTCCAAATAAACCACTGAAGAGAGTAGGTTTTAATGAAGCCCTTCCTGATAAAGCTACACACATATTTATACATTGGTGCTGTTCAAATTAAGTTATGGTTCCACAAAATATATGCAATAAATTGGTTGGGCAAAGGATCTTTATAATAATTACATAGAAAACCTTTAAATGACAGCAGAGGCCTACTTTAGCCCGTAAAACATTTTTTGAATTTTGACACTTTTTGGTTAAAATATGAACATAAAAAATTTCAAAATTGGACATTCTACATGATGGAATTATAAGGTGGAAGAGGTGGAAATTTCATTTGGAAGACACGAGGTCATTTTTAGGTACAATATTATTTTTCATTGGTTATTTCAAACAATCGGAATGTCACAACTCAAAACAGAGGACCCAGTGTTCGAGGCAGTCTAGATAGTGGGATTATTAAAAAAGGCATTTATTGAAATAAAAAGACTGTGAATCTGTAGTAGCAGCAGCTAGGGCATCTGAGATAGGAAACTCTGGTGAGAGAAAACACAGGTTAGTGACCAAGATTACTTGATGGAGGATGAGAAGAATGCATGAGCCACTAACCAGAGAACGAGGTTGATACCAGCCGGTTGGCTGACAAGACGCAACTGTAGCCGCACGGAGAGTTCCAGATGCCGAAGCCTTGAATGACACAGAACTGAAAGGGAGATCAGATCCGAACAGATGAAGGAAGCGTATCCAGAGGGCGAAGTCAAGAGGCACATCCATTTTCAGTCCATAAGAAGCAGGTGCCTGAAGACCGGTCAGGCAAACAGATCAAAACAGGGACAGGCAGGCTCAAAGATGCAAAGACAGAAACGGGTCAGGATCAGGATCAGGATCAGGACCAGAACACTATAAGCAACACTAGAACAGTGTTTTTTTTGACAGCCATCTTAGATTTAGTTTTAATCTTAATCTTCAGGACGAAAACTATTATTCGTCTTAGTCACATTTTAATCTTTACAATATGTGATAGTTTTAGTCGGTTTTAGTCAACTAAAACTTAAAAAGGTTTTAGTATAGTTTTAGTCAGTTTAATGTTGCAAAAAAAATTTAACCTTTACAATTTTTAATAACAACCAGATTCTTTACCAGACTGACAACTCTTGCCTAGGTGCTACATTCGCTGGAGTTACAATTCTGCCGTGCAGCTCAACATTGCTGTTGGGCAGACAATTTTTTTGTTGTCTGTCCTGTTGGGCAACTTTTTTTTAATTAATGCTCTACTTTATAAAAAAAAAAAATGTCTCACAAAAGTTGTGAAAACAGCAGATCTTGCTCAAAACATCATATTGGTTAATATAGCAGACAGAAAGGCTGCAATGAAGGAATGGTTTTAGACATTCAAGGTTTCCAGCCCAAAGCAAACACTTCCTGATCTACTATGAATTATGCATTACACACAGATCAATAAAATCTTAATTTCTCAAAAAGAAAAAGAAAAAAACAAAAATAATCTTCTTTCTACTTTGACAACTTTTGCTTCATTTCTTCAATTTACCGCTTGGTTACTGCTGCTCAGTGGTCAAAGTAGATTTAAATTCACAGGGTTTTGATATAAAAAAAATAAAAGTACAGAGAGAACCTACATAATAGCCCTGTAATGCCATGGTAATCCAGACCTAAATTGAATGAATATGCTAACTAAAATGTTGAAATATTTAAAGGAAACAGAAAATGTTTTAATGACAATTCAAGGAAACGAATCAAAAGTGAAGAAAAATGAGTAACCGACCTTCCAGGCAGGAGGATGTCTAGTGGATTTGACATGTTGGCGCTGTTGCGTGAGGAAGACTGTTATTGACCACTTTACGTTGCGTCTGATTGGTTTATATTGTGTAGAGCCTTCAGTGGTTGGTTAGATTTAGACATGAATTGATCTGGGATTGGTTACCTCAGCCTGTCAGTCAGAGGTGAGTTTTTTTAACTAAAGCAGGCCCTATCAAATGAGAATTAAATGAGGAAATATGCATGAGAAGTGTCATGTATGGCACGAAAATGCATGAAAATGGGTCAAACTTCATGACCAAACACAATACGTGGATTTTAGCAGCCCTGCTATGACCCACAGCTTGAGCTGGAAGATGTGGTTACAAAAATGCCTATTAACCCACCAGAACAGCTGAATCTTATTTGGGGTTTGGATTAGTGACAGGTATGTGCTGACTCCATTTTATTGGTTAAAGGTGAACACACCCATAACAGGGTGTGCACAATTGTGCAACCCTATTATCTCTGTTGTTTATTTTTACTTCACTACCCTGAATAATCTCTTGGGGGGTTTGTAATTGTTTTTTCAAGGTTTTAGATCACATGAAAGGTTGAAAAACTTGTAAAGTAATTTATATTAATGTATTTTTTGTTAAATTACAAGAATCTAAAATTTAACCAAAAAATCTGTTAACAGACTGAATATTCTGACCCTTAAAATATGTTTTTTTATAGATATACCACTTTTAAAATGAAATAATGGAGATCATTTTTTTTTTTGTTTGTTTGTTTGTTTATTTAAAGTGCACAAATCTTACTTCACTGATAGATCATTTTACTCACCTTCCTAAATCCTGAGCAAATATTTTAAGAAAATTTTACTTTACTTTAACCAAGTTTTTTTTATAGCGTGGGTTTCCTCTTAATGCCATCTGATGTATATACTACATTAATCTGCAATTATATCTGGACCAATTTTTCACCGTATGTCTCCTGTATTCATCACATTTCACATTTATTTGGGTCTGTGTCAATTAAGAATATAGCTTTTTATTTTACTTTCCAGCTGCTTGCACAAACTCAGTTTTAAACAGCAAAACCTTTCATTGTTTTGAGTATTGTATGCTGTAATAAAAAATAAAAAAAACATGGAAAAATAAAGGATGAGTGCAGTTGCTCATGCTGCCATCCTGATAGATTTTCTACTGGGAAGTATTACACTGCTAACTTGGATTTTTTTTAAAATCACTGTTCTTCTTAGGTTTCAGTATGTGCTTGGGGAGAGGACTTGGATTGAGTACTGGCCCACAGAAGCAGAATGCCAGAAGGCAGAACATCGACCTACCTGCATGGGCATGGAGGAGATGGTCGATCAGTACACCACTTTTGCATGTCAACAGTAATTGCACCATTGGAACCAACTGTCATATCAAATTTTTTATTTTTGCAAAGTGTGTAAAAGTTGGCATGAATTGATTGTACGAGACATAATAAAGTGTGTTAATTAAACTTTTAATGGTACTTTTTGGCCAGGAGTCCCTGCTTTTAATGATATTCATATGCACCAGATTTTAATAGTATATTTTCCCTTTTTTCATTTACCAGATAATTATTTATTGATTTCTTTCATCCCTGAAAATTGCTAATACATTGTTCAAAATAATAACTTTAAGAGGAGGAGACAAATGTAAGATACAAAGAGCAAACAAATCCAGTCAAAAATTGTGACACATTTAGGGTCTGATCCTCGGAGCCTTTACATGCCTTAGAGCACATGCAAACTTGTTTGTACATGCAGAGCAGATCTTCAAAGAAGGTACCAAGGGATTTGCATTTGCAATTCAGCAGACTGTGCATGAGGACCTTTTTTTGTGTCTATGCCTGTATCAATATGTTTTTTTTTTTTCAACAATATCTTTATTAAGTTTTATACATATATTTCACTTGTACAAAAAGACGGTTATCAAAACAATAGCATCCAAAAAGTGAACAGTTAAAATTTCCACAAAACATTTCACATACTTCACACACTTAACAACATTAAATAAAACTAAACAAAACAAAACACACTCAACAACATATATCAATGCAGCAGATTTAAGTTATTTGAGCTCTTTGACGTTCAAGAAACTCTATTAAGGGATTCCACACAGTCTCAAACTCTGTAGCCTTTCCCCTGGTGATATAAGTCAGCCTTTCTAGCATCACACAAGATGTCATCTCCTTTATCCACTCATTTATCGAGGGCACACCCATTTTCCTCCAGGACAGAGCAATCATCCTCCTCGCCTGTAGGAGGCCAAAATCAATTAAAGTTGACTTGTTAGGAGTAACAGCAAAGTTTTTTGGATATATACCGAGTATACACATTTCTGCCAGGTGAGGTATCTTCACTTTAATGATGTCAGATAAAGTCAGAACAATTTCTTTCCAGTATTTTTTTATATCTGGGCAGTCCCATACGCAGTGATATAGAGTACCCTTTCCTTCCAAGCACTTAACACATGTGTCTGGCACATCAGGAGACCACTGATTGATCTTAACCGGGGTAATGTAAGTTCTCATGAGCCATTTGTATTGTAATAATTTCATCCTTGAGTTGATGGATTGTTTTTGGGCTTTAAAGCATGCCTTTTCCCAATCTGCCTTTTGTATGTCTACCTTAATATCTAGTCTCCATGCCTCTAGCCTGTCATCTGTGGACTCTTTATCATGGGACATCAAAACTGTATAAAACAAAGAAATCAGTTTCCTCCCCTCCAGATGTCGAAGCGTAACTTCTTCAAGTTGTGACAGTGGTGGTTCATCTATTACATTCTTATGTTTCGATAAAATAAAATGTTTCAGCTGTAGATATTTAAAAAAAAAATTTCTGGGAACGTTGTGTGTTTGGCACATCTGATCAAATGTACAGAGTTTACCGTCTATATAAAGGTCCTCTATTTTTTGTGCACCATTACCTGCCCAGATTTTGAATCCACCAT